ACATGTGTGGATTTGAGCTTAGAAGTAGGTGTTCCACAACCTTAGGAATTTTGGGTACAGTACCCAAAGTTTGAATCCTGTGTATCACCATGTATGGGCACACATACATGTTGCAGAGCTACTCTGGTTGAAATACCCTGAACAGGCTAGGGCACACTTGGTGTCTGTGTGTAAGGCGCGCGTCTAAGGCACGTCTTGCCAAAAGGCGCGCCGTAAAACGGTAAACCGTAAAATGGTAAATTCCATTGTTCCAGAGAAACGCCCCGTAAAATGCTCCGTAAAACGGTAAATTCCTAAATTTACGATCTGAGCGTGCCGCTTTCGGAGCGTAAAACGGTACATTTGGTAAACTTGCAAAATTTACCGTAAGCAAAATTTACCGTAAACCCGTAAAGGCGTAATGTATCAATGTACTGGAGCGTGAGGAGGAGGCGGTAAAACAGTAAAACGGTAAATTCGTAAAGTTGTATCATGATACTACGAGATTAAAATTTACAGATTTACGGATTTACCAAATTTACCTTTGCCCGGACACAGCAAAATTCACCACTTTACTGATTTACCCAATTTACCATGGCCTGAAGAGCGGCGAAATTTACCAATTTACCGATTTACCACATGTACCATTGCCCGGAGAGCGTTCTCTCCTTAGCATCATGCCTTACGCAGTGACGGCTTAGGGAACGGAAAAGGCTACCAAAAATCATGATCTACAAGAAATAAATCCCGGCAAGCAATTGGTATTGTTGTCACCATGGATAGCAGTCATGTGCTCTCGTGATTCAACTTTGATACCCTACAAAAAGTAATCCTAGCAGGACTGTCAAAAATTCATCGAAATGGCCAGAAAAACACTGATAAATGGTCAGTTCATGTCAAATCTGTTAAGCTCTCATGTATCCCAACTAGCTAAATCCCATTGTTCATGGCTAATCCCCATGATCTTCACCACAATCTCCACCAATCATGTCCTTTTGGTAAAAATAGAGGGGCCGGGAGCTGGTTGATCCCATCTATCATCATACAGGATGGTGCCCCCCAGTTATAAGTTGGTTTATAAACCCCATTAACTATAGTTATATCTACCATAAATCATAGTTATGGGAGTTATAAACCAACTTAGCTATCTAGGGGGCACCACCTTGTATTAACCAACCAACCAATGGGAATTTGGGACATCTATATGATCTCCACTCAACGGCACGGCATGGCCTGCTCCCGGCATGGCCGCCATAGCAGGCATTCCAGGCCTTGAGGACCAGCTGAAATGGTGAAAGGAACACTATACGATAGATTGATAGATCATATGTGCAAATATATATATAGAGTATATGTATATATATATATATACATATGTACTGTATATAGAGATCCCCAAAAAAGATAGAACAGTGGAATCCAAATCTATATTTCCGTGATAAGTAGAAGCTTTTCGGCATCTTTTTGGGGGTTACAACTTGCCATGGAAAACCCCATTTTCCCTCCAATAACACAATAAACTAACATAGCATAACATGGCTATAGGTTAAATGGGGTTAAATGGCTATAGTAACTATATTCTAACATAACATAGCCATGGAAAACAACCGTCATTTCGATAGGTTAGTAAATCATCGAACTAAATGGGCCATGGCTTTCGTAGCAAACTGTGAAATTAGCAGAGGGTGGCCAACAACAATGACGGACAATTAGAATTCAACCACCAAACGTTGGCACCTATGATGGAATTATGAAACAGAAGTAGGCCGATTTGTCAAAATTCGTTCATGGCTTTTACAGTATCTGTTTGTAAATGGGATTGATAGCAACAAAACTGGTCTACCATTCATTTCTGTTGGACAGATCTATAGCGAAACTCAACCAACTTAGGGCGCAAAATATGGCATGTTTGCATTCTGAAGTGATGGCTCCAATTTTATCATCCAAATGATTGGTGATTTTGTAGTGAAACCAAGGAAACTCGTGCTGATTTTCGACATCCTCTTGGGGCTTTCCCGCTGCAAAAAGAGGAACCAACTGATTTCCAGGGAAAAAATGAACCAACGAATGACTGGTTGGTGGTATACCTACCCCTCTGAAAAAATATGATAGTCAGTTGGGATTACTATTCCCAATATATGGAAAAATAATCCAAATGTTCCACACACCAACCAGATGATATTTGGATGGCCATCCACTTTAGTACACAAGATGATCAGAACTTCTGAGATTCTGGGCGTGCCAAGTTCAGCCAGCTTTGCAGGATTTGTGCCCAAACTCACTAGGTTTACGAACATGGGCTTGAACATCAGCCACTACGGCAATTCTACATAATCTCCCCAAGTAACATAGATCCTGCCAAGTGGGGGATTTTTAAGACTAGTCTTACTTGGTATCCTTCCAGCATAACGTATGCCTTATTGGGATGATGATCCCAACTCACTTTCAACTGTAGAGTGGTTGTTCCAACGCTTCTTTACCAGTTGTGAATTGACGATAATTGACGTGGATATCCTGCAAGAAGCATAAATTCAAAGATTTCAACAGAATATACATATTTCATCTTATATACCCTCTGGTAAACGTTTACATAACTATGGAAAATCACCATTTTTAATGGGAAAATACACGAACTAAATCACCATTTTCAATAGCTATGTAACAAATTACCAGAGGGTACATGCCATTTCCTGGTTCAGCATTCTTGATGGTCACACTGAGTCAAACTCCCATGTTGAGCCGAATTGGCTCGATACTGAGCTCACGCACATGGCGAAGCCGCCTGGGGTGCTGGGGTGGGGTGAACTTTCTGGGTATGGCGGCCTCGTAAACGACGTAGAAAACCATGCACGTCTCTAGCAAAATCGTAGGATGAGGTCGTCACTATCTTGGAGAATCTTGTCCCACGAAAGACATATGGATATGTATATATATATATATACATATGTATATAATTATCTTCAATCCATGCAAAACTACTGGATACAGTACCTGCGTTGGTGACAAATCCAGATCACAGAGATCCCGTCTTCGCACCTGGTGGAGGAAAACCAGTGCCCTGCCTGGAATTGTGGGTGATGTTCGTCCCTTTTTTGGGTCCCTTGGAATCAAACCAGTGCCCTGCCTGCATACCTTTCCTGGAATTGTGGAATTATTTTTTTTGGGGTTACCGCGGTATGGAAAGGACATGCTTTTCATCGCAAAGCGGCTTCAAAACCCAGTTCTCCGGCTTTTCTTGTTGTCAGGACGTGTTTTGTCCGGCGAATTGCAGGCAAGATTTGGTTAAACAATGTCATATGGGAAATTGGAGCCATTGGCCAAGAAGAAAAAAACAACATCCAACAGCGATGTTGGGTCTGACGAACAAGCTTTGGTATCATTTTGGGATACCAGCGCATGAAGATTTGACCCTGTTCATATACGTGCATGAGATGTTACAGGAGTCCGCAGATTTGTGATGTATCATGAACAAAACATGCATAAAAAGAGAGTTTAGGAGATCTTTGCAGACAAGAAGAATTTGATTGTTGGTGATATCCCCATCATATTCATATTGCGTTCCTGATTTTTGGGAGAAAATCCATGAAGTCCGCTTGTTCATCATCATGTCTTCATGCAAAACAATGCCAATTTTGGGTGTACATGGGTATATCCCATTTTCACACACACACAGACTTAGTACCAAACCATCCAATTTTTCTCGGTGAGTCATCTTCAGCACATGGACATGAGGTGGCACCCATGGATCAACAGATCCATCAGATGGAGAGGCGAAACCATGGCCATTGTCAGCTCTTTGATGTGGTAAACACCATATGCCTGTAAGGTTTATAAGAAATGTCTGTAAGGTTCAAATGGAGGTTCCATAAATGGGGGATAATTATATACTAAAATAATCTAATGTCTAATGTTGGATGAATAATTGGGGTACCCCCATTTTAGGAAACCTCGAAATGATCAAATTAACATCAGGAGAGTGGTCCAAACCTTCTCCTTCCACCCTCGAAATTTCCCAACGGCAGGACTGGGTGCTCCCAACATGGTCACGATGTGCACAACTCCACGCGCCGCGTGGCTTCAGATAATTCGGTGACTTCCAGTGCTTTTTAGCTAAGAATTCCTAAAATTTCCTGAAAAAAAGGCATGTATTACCCTCCAGTAAATTAACATAGACCCTGGCAGATAGGGGTTGGAAGACTAGTTTCCATTAAAAATGGGTGATTTTCAGGGTCTATGTTAATTTACTGGAGGGTAATGTATTGAATCAATTTCTTGAATGTAGGAATTAGTTTCATGTCAATCGCTAATGAACGTATTGCTCGCATTGGTTTTTCACCATGATCATGGATTTGTTCAACCGACATGGGCACGAGTTCTTCGCAGTGCATGTTTGTCTCAATGCAGTTGCAGGTGCTGAGCATCGTCCTATTGTCAACCCAAATTCAAAGATACATATTCACACATGTTTGATAAACACATGAGATCTCATGCGAAATGCCCATGACTGTGGCGATTCTGATCTTATGGCCATCGTCACCTGAAAAGGCGAAAGGAAAAAGGCATTGGTGAATCCAACCGCAGGGTAACACCCAGGAAACTGGCGTAACTTGGGGAAAACGTGGCTGGTCACGTTAGGTGCCTGCAATGCTCAAACACACCAAAACCATCATTGCAATTGGCAATTTCCTCCAACTTTTTTTGGGTTTTGTAGTGGAAATCTAAGGGTTACAGTACCTCCCAAAAAATATCAAAAAATACGGCCTTCTTAAGGCGTTGTTCACCACCATCAACCCATACGAATACGGCTTATCAAATCTTTCACCATGTGCACCAACATAGCTCAAAGTACCATCAAATCTTCATCAAAACCATCCCTCGCTTTAGCCATCATTTAGCCAGGTTATTTCACTATTTCTATCTATTTCTGGTGTGGAAAGATGCGCCTTAGCACATAGCTGACATAGCTTTGTTGTGGAATCCATGGCATATCATAGGGGGTCCCTGGTGAATCCCCCCCAATTTTTTCACGCCGCGGCGTTCGATTCGTTCGATTCGTTCGATTCGTCCACAGGTCCCAGCTCCACCTGTCCAGCCCTCAGTGCACCGGAGAAAATAGGGGTTTCAATGGGAGGTTTCAATGAGATTTAGTGGGTCAGAATGTTTGCCCTATAGAAAATCACCATGTTATCAATGGGTAAATCCACTATTTCTAAATGGCCATTTTCAATAGCTATGTTAAATTGCCAGAGGGTACAATGTTTGTTTTTGCGATTTTAAGGGTGCTTCAATATGTTTCAATGGGGGTTCAATGGTGCTTAAATTGGAATATCATTGGGAACAACTACTCCCCAAACTGGTGGTTGAGCCACCTGCATCCCCAATTGCACAAATGGCAATGTATTTGGCCAATACAAAGGGAAGTTTAAGGAAGACAAAAAGATAAAAAGGACATTGAATCCCAGGTTAAGAATAAGAATATGGGAACAAAATAACAACAAGTAGTTGATTTAATCAACGAAAGTACGGACTTCAGCAAATGAAGGTCACACAGCGATGTGAACGGATAAACAATTGAATTCAAGTGGTTTTTAACCCACACAAATGGCCGCTTAGCGTATCTCTACCCCAAAATTGTTGGCTTGCACCCTCCACAATTGCCTTGACGGGCATGCTTATTTCTGTTGGCTTTTAGCATATAGTTTTACAGCCTTGTGTATATATATATATACACACACCTGCACACACACATATATATATATAACATACATACATATACTACGTATATATATATATAGGCACATATACTTACCTAGTATGAGCTGTAAACATCCCCAGCGAGCGAGCTCCGTCAGCTGTGCGACAGGGACAGGTCTTCGCCAATGCGGCGACGCCGAGCTTTGCAGCGCCGGTATTGGAGATAGCACAGGCCCAAGATCAACCTGGAAGGGGCTGGGAAATCCCGCATTTTTAGGGCATTTGAATGGGAAAAAACACTGAAAATTAAAAACAGTACTACTGGGGGATTTACTTCATGATATTTCATGATATTTTGTGATAGGTTTATTGACAGATTCTTGAACGTTCAGGTGTTTTGCCAGATTCTTGAACCAAACCGGTGCCAAGCGACAGAGCCACGCTGAAGAGAAGAACCTCTGCCACAGTCATCAGTTCCTCTGTCGCCTGGAGGATAACCAACCCCTCATTGGGGGAGATCGCCTCCAATGAGGAGTGTGGGGTTTATTAACCAGCAACAAGCACTTTTTGCAATTCTTGTGGGAGAAATTCCCTAGCATAACTAGACCATAGACATCCAGCAGGGCACATCCAATTTCCATTTTCCAGTTGACATCCAGCAGGGCCATTGATAATAATCATCATGGGGTCCAATGTCCGGATCTCCCGGCAGTGTCGCCATGTTGGCGCACTGAAGCATTCTCGATACTAAACATCTCTTTTCAAATTGGTTGCATCCTAATCCTACTACCAGCAGTATCTTTCCCAGAACAGTACTGTTACTAACGACTAGAATTTAGGATTAGACACTATTGGTAGTGTTTCATCAAGGATTTCTTGGGGAACTCCTTGTCTGCTTTGCCTGTATCATCCTAGCTTGGTGGGTTGTTTGACAAATAATTAGATATCTATGCATTTTTTTGTTGGTTTCATTCCCATGTTTGGTGGTTAATTGTCCATATCTGCTGGGTCAATCTGCTAGATCAATCCCTGTTCTTGCTAGTTGAACTTCACTTTTTCATGCTTTAGCCACTCAGCATATTACCCGTTCCCCCGTTCTGTTGCGTGTCAACTCCCCCAGTTTTTTTGTCGCTGGTCATGTCAAGTTCGTCGCCGGCACTTCCGGGGCTGCGAGCATCGTGCCTTAAGCTCTTGATGCTTCTTCCAGAGCTGGTCTTCTACGCCTTGTTTCGCCAGACTCGAAACTCGTTGATTTCATGCGGCAGAAGTGTTTTTCTGTTTTCGAGGGGTTACCCATCGCCATTTTTATGGTGCTTTTTCAGAATAGGAACTACAGTAACTTGAGGATTTTTTAGATCTACCCTCTGGTAAACTAACATAACTATGGAAAATCACCATTTTTAATGGGAAAACTCACTATAAATGGCCATTTTCAATAGCTATGTTAAATTACCAGAGGGTATATATATTGTTTACCAACAAGAATCTGGATGGTATCAACAAACATTGGGATGTGATTGGATATGAACTAACCGTTACCCGGGGCACAGAAAATCAATATAGAATCAAGGTGTCGCAAAGAAACGCGAGAATGTCATGGAACATCTCTATTAAAAACAGGTTCAATGGGGAGTTCAATCTCCACAATGATGAGACAATGATCTTCCAATGTGTTGGCATAACTTTCTAGGAACAAAACATCAGCTGCTTGCTGGTCTTTACCAATCCGAAAGAGATCCTGTTTGGTGATTTCATCCCAAACAGCATTTGCCAATTGGGATTACCACCTGATTATGACTAACATAGCCATGGAAAATCCCTTATAAATGGAGGTTTTAATGGGAAAATCATCTATAAATGGGGAATTTTCCATGGCTATGTTAAATAACCAGAGGGTATCATCTTTTTTTGCGGGTGGTGTCACATCATGAACATTATCAATCACTTGGAACACCAGTGATTATTGATGATTATGGTACACCTCACTCAGTAATCATTAGAATCATTTGACTTTCACCCATCATTGTCAATTGAGAGCAGTCCATCAATCTGGGTAAATTATAATAATTCACCAACCTGAATCTTGCGGCCATAAAAGGGGATGATTTCCCTTACTAACTATGATTTCCAGTGAGGGAGAACAGTGAGGTCGTTATTTCTTTTACCCAGATCAATAATTTGGCGGTTTTTGAGCAGTGTTCAGTTCACCTTCCGTCATCTCCCAACGTACGTTTGTTGCTCTGTGGAACCCGATTTCCACACAAAGTGACTGGGTTTATCCCCCCGGAGAGCCAGTGAGCATAAACATGTATTCATGTGTGCTTCTATATATATATATAATTATATATATGTACTTATTTATTCATTTATTTATCTATTTATTTATGTATATTATACGTATATATATATATATGTATGCAAATGCCAATAATGTAGTATCGGGATATTGGCTTAAATCCTGGTACCGTGTTTTTTTTTGGTGAAGGACTCACTTGGTAAATACGAAAACATGTCCGATGGCGTTTTTGACCCATCCCGTAAAATAGCAACAGGGGCTCCATCGAAAATCCAAGACTCAGTATTGCTTGCTGCTGGCCTTGGCCGTTTGGGCCATGGGCAGTTAAGGGATGAAAGGTGGCCCCAGATGAAAGGTGGCCTCTTGATCTGCTGAAAGGCATACACTCTAGGTCAGCTCAGAGTCCAGTGAAGATTTCCGCGGGGAACTCTGCATCACACGGAAGGTTGAAATAATAAGATTGTTTTCGGAACCCCGAAGATAGCCATTTTGGGCGGAAACACCCTTTTTGGACAACCTCACATGTGAGGAAGGTCTGGCCACCCTATGTATCAAAGCCGCTCCAGCTGAAAGTACTTGAAGTTTCTTTTACAAAGGCCATGAAGAAAGATATATTCTTCTTTTTGAAGGACCGTTTCGGAAATAGATGGTCACGATTTGCCCTTATGGTTGTGATTTTTTTGCGCCCTGAATTTTGGCATTTATTCTTGGGGTGTCCTATGGGGGGATTGGCCGAATCTGATTTTGGCGGTGGGGTCTGCGATGCGCGAAGTCACTGAAATGCCGTAGAGCAAAGTGCAAACCGCCTCCGGCCGTCACATCATGTGGCATAGGTGGGATCAAAGATATGGGTCTCTAAAAATTGGGTAAACCCCTACAAGATGAGGCCCGCCAGGGGCCTAAGTTGGTTTACAAAACCATGAGCTAATGTGTTTTTGGAGTTTAGTTATATCCTCCATATCCCCTAGTTAAGTAACTTAGCAAAACCGGAAAAGATGGTAGGGACTCCTGCTGACATGAAATCCCCATGCCAAAAAGTCCGCAACGAATCAACTTTCAGGCCACTTTTCGAGGCTAAAAATGCAAGTTTTGATGTGTAATCTTCGAGCATTTTGATATGTCGATTCAATACCCGCTTTCTTCAGGATCTTTTAGATGTTCTGATTATATCTTGGGGCCAGCTACCCCAAACTGGGATGGCTTGAGGTAAAACCTGACCTGGCACAATATCACAATTTGACCCATCTCTGCCCATTTGCCCAATGTTACCATCAATGTATGTGCCATGATTTTCAAGTATTCCATAGCCGTAAAATGGTCGCACGTCCGTAAATCTCACATTTCTGGTCAACTCCCCGTTTCCTGATGAAAGCAGCACGTTGTTGCTTATCCATTGATCCCTCTCTACTTGAGTACCACAAATAGGAATCTTCAGCCCCTTTTGTTGCCAGGTAAATCACCATAAGTTTCCAATATCTACGGGGGACTCCGGACACCGTTGCCACATTTTTGGATACTTAAAAGTTAAAAGCCACCGAACCCTCCGCACCCTCTCGCGGCACTGGCCAATACACTCGCTGCAACTCACCTGGGGAACGACTGCTGAGCCCATGAAATGGGACAGATATGGACAGATTATACTCTAACTATCTTCATCTTATGGCTTATCGAAGAAATATTAGGAGGATAGGAGTATCTAACAAATCAACATTGCTTCCCTTTACTATTAACAAACATGTTTCTTCTAATACAACCCTTGGAGATACATGGTTTAGTAAGTTTAGTATTGGATCTGCTCTGGGGCTTCATCAGCGCAGATAGTGATGGAAAATCTTGGAACCGAACAAACAAATAAAGACCAGCAGAGCCCCAAAATGGAACTGCTGGAAACCTCCAAACTGAACATTTGTACGTCAAGATTGCTGGCGTGGATGCGGAAACAATAAGTTGTCTTGTTTTCTTTTCGAACACCTCCCGAAGCCTTTGGGCGTAGGTCGAAATTCAAGACCAAGAGATCTATAGTAGCTTTGGTGAGTTTATGCCACTTCGGATCATTTCGACTTTTGTCCATCTATTCGGTGAGTAAGTAGTCCATGGTCACCCTTCCTCGAATACATCCCATCAACGTCCACTCTGCGACCGTAAAGGTTATAGTCATAGTTTTGCAAGAACACGCATGACTTAGAAGAAACATACTACACAACGAGGATCCCTTTGGCATTCCAGTTCTTCGATTTTCATCCTCATTCATTTCAATAACCTGGGGGCGCAGAAGTTGTTTTTTTGTTTTAACCTCTGGTAATCAAACATGGCAATGGATTTGTTCCCTTTGTAGAACAGAAAAAGGTTCGCAGAAAAAGCTCCATGGATAGAGGATGCCCGTTTGCCATTGATAAAGAGATGAAAACCTATGAAATCCCATACTGGTTGGTGGTATACCTACCCCTCTGAAAAATGATGGAGTTCGTCAGTTGGGATGATGAAATTCCCAACATATGGAACATCACCATTTTTAATAGGTAAACCATCGAACTAAATGGGCCATTTCCATGGCAAGCTGTTAAATAACCAGAGGGTATCCCAATAAAATCCCATTAAATCATCATTTTCAATGGGTAAATCCACTAATAAATCCACTATAAATCCACTATAAATCACCATTTTCAATGGGTAAATTCCTATGAAAAACCACCAACTAGCTATGAAATCCCCATGAAATCGGAAGGGTAACCAGCCAGCCATCGGATGGTCGCGATGGTCGCCGAGGAAGCTGCCGAGGAACCGCATCAAACTTGGTCACGTTGTCACAGAGCGTGGTGCCCAATCTCCTGCCGATACGGGATTGACCAGAGTCCTGGGGCATCCGGCATATCCCTTTTTATGATGTTTATTGGCATTCAAACAATGGGACACTTAAAAGTTCTTAACTGGTAAAACATCAGATTTAAGGGACCTTCAGGGGTTTGATGATAGATGTCCCCACAAAAACCAACAAAAAGGAACCGAAACATGGTCATATCCAGGAGGAAACACATATCTCAAGCTTTTCTGTAGAACAATCTATTCACTTTCGGTCAAATTTCTATTTTGCGTGCAACTTTTCAGCGGCTCATCCGTGACTCTTGTCAAACAAGTCTTATAAAATGTCTTGTCAGCATGGCCAATCTTAAAGACTCTTCAAAAAGGATATATATATATACACACCTAGATCTTCAGATGAGCAAACCTTTCTGTACTTATGTACCTTTGGGCTAATCGAGCGGAAATCTCAATTCAAACACTTTGTGGATCCTCGAGCGTTCTTTGCAGACACCTGGTCCCAACGCCAATTGGTTCAAAATGGCTGCTATTCTTCGACCTAGTTTTGGAAAACGGGCATATTTCAGATTTGGGGGCCACTTGTTGGAAATTCATTCCAACTCTTACAAACATCAGGGTGCAACTTTAGGCGCAAATAAGCGCAACCGGGCTCAAAATTCAAAAGTGCTCTTTTTGATCATCACTTCAGGGGTTTCCTCGAGCACATTTTGAACTTGAGCTTCATTTGGAAACCTGGTTTGGCTACTTGGATGTGTGTGCGTGTGTGCATGGAATGGAAGGGAACACATTTTTCAACCTCGAGCATCTGACCCCTTAGTTCATATAGAATTTTCTAAAAAACGAACCTTTCATACCTCGAGCGGAAAATAGGGTGTTAATGGAAAACTAGGTATATATATATATGTATGTATGTATGTATGTATGTATGTATGTACATATGTATATAGTGTATATATATATACACGTATATACACCATTATACACCCATGTATTAATAGGGCAAAAGATTCACGTATACATAAGTATACTCTCCTACCCAACCAGCCAGTTATTCCAGTCGAGCCGCTGCACTGCACTCTGCGCAAAGAATTTCTGCCACTTCTCTTCCCCTTCGTCGGAACCTGAAGCATCAACGCGTCAAAGTTGGTGGCGTATTTGGGTGTGGAAAGTGGGGCGTACCACCAAAATGACAATTTTATCGGCAATTAAAACAAGGAAACACATTAATCATATATTAATGCGACAATCTTGCCTCCTTTGGATGGCCCTTGGCAACGTTTTGTCCTGTGAATACTTTAATCTTTTCCCATAGGTGCGGGTATTGGATAAGCGAACTAGAACATTGAATTTTTGCAGGGTGTCTAAGTTAAGGTTCTGCAGGCTTTTTGCTAGCGACCATGCCAGCAGAAGGCATTGCAAATAGCATTGCGAGGTTGCTTTCATGCCCACTTCCGGGTGTTTACATCCCAGATTTTGTTGCATAAAAAGCCACCAGAAGACATTTTTCCATTGAAATTTGCATAAGTTGGAGCAAATCCTCAATGCCTGAAGAAACGGATCGAACTACTACTGACGGATGCTACAGTAAATGGGTTCATGAACATATTTAGAAGGAGGCCGCCTTTTCAGGCGAGGATTTACGGAAACAGAACGGGGCCACCCTCCTTTTCTTTGATTGGTGAATTTATGGGTTTGTTCAAAAATGGGGATGTCAGGATACCATGCCAAATTGCAGGTTTAATCAGATGACCATCCTCCAACTCTTGATAATTGGTTACGCATCCCGGCCATGAAATATGCCTATCCCAGCAGAAATCTCCATTCTTCATGCGGTACTTTTCATTAAACAAAACCTGGATCCAACTACCATGGCATAGGTAAGGGGTACCCCTACAACCTGCTGCCATGGCACCATCTGTAAAGGAGAAGGCTAAGTCTCGATACCTTAGCCACACATGGGGTTTAAACAGCAATGGTGGGGGTCCAACAAAGATGAACGTGGGCTGAACTAAGAGAAATGGGGGTGTAAAATGTTTTTTTTTTTCTTCCCCTCTCTCTCTCTCTCTCTCCCTCCCTCTCTCTCTCTCTCTATAAGGCGGTTTATGCTTTCTGGTAGATATTACCTATATATGGTTAATGGGTTTTATAGCCAGGGCCCACTTTGCATGATGCACTCGAGAAGGGCAATGGCACCCGAATAGCAACCAGGGTCATATTATCACTATTTCTAAAATGGGTTTGTCTGAAAATAGTGAGGGAACAAGGTGGCTTAATGGGATATGATAGGGATATAACAGAGAGATTTAGCCAGCTCACAATAATCAGCAAGCAGCTACTCTGATGATTGACCAATGGATATGGAAAACACAATTGACAAATGCTGATAGTGTCGGACTGCAGTCCCATGTAAAGTCTCTGGAAAAGTATACTCATGCTCCAACGTGAAATTATGTGAATTTCCGATGTTTTCCCCTTCAAACAATGTGTTTACTACGCTAGAGGTATCTCAAAGCCGTTAGTTTTCCCTTCAAACTGGACATTTTTTTTCTGATTTCGGGGCCACCCATTTGAAATCATTTGAAACTACCAAACAACTCCTTCCAATGTGCGAAGTATCTCCTTCCAATTTGCGAAGCATCACACAGTCCAGTCCCAGACACGCCAGATTACTCAGACTCTCCACCAAAGATGGTGGCGCAGAGTATTCCCTGGTAAATTCCGGAGTCTCCTGCGATCGGCTCCAAGCCAAACATGGCCTGGAAATGCGAGGGGGATCTGTTGAAAATGGTGGAAAAATGGAAAATCAATGGTGATAAATGGGAGAATCATGTCGATTAATATGGGATAGACTTAAGATCTTAATATTACCCTCTGGTAAACTAACATAGCTTTTAAAAATTGCAATTTATAGTTGTGTTTCCCATTAAAAATTGTGATTTTCCATAGTTATGTAAACGTTTACCAAGAGGGTACCTGGGAATCATTGCCATAGCTGGAAAATCCATCATAGTTCGACTTTCAGTTTGGGAACCGCTGTCCCACTGTCAGATCATGGGGATCATCCGATTTTTTTCTGGTGGTTCATGGTGGTTACCCGGCCTGGTAAACATAAACATAACTGATGGGAAAATCATCATTTCTAATGGCTGAACCTGAATCATTGATATCCTAATCGACTTAATATTGGTACCCTCTGGTAAACGTTAACAAAAAACTATGGAAAATCATCATGCTATTAATGGGCCAATCTGCTATTTCGACTGGGCCATTTTCAATAGCTTTTGTTATGTTTACCAGAGGGTATATCCCCACTTTTTGTTGGCTCCCATCTATGTCGCTTACGGGTGAAATCCATGGTGAACTCCCGTTAAATTCGTGAAATCTGGCGTTTTATCCCAGACATCCCCAGACTGGTTTGCACGTTGCAAACGGTTGACATTCATGAAAAAAATACCCCTTGGTTATGACATTCACAGTTCGCCATGGAAAATCCCTTATAAATGGAGGTTTCTAGCTGGGAAAATCATCTATAAATGGTTATTTAACCTAACAGTTTGCCATGGAAAGATCCACCCATGCTATTAAGGAGAGTACGTTTTCACCACGACTAAAACTAGGTTTCCTAGCCACGACAAAACCCGTCTGTGAACCACGACAAGGACCAAAGATTTAACCACGACCGGCAAACACACCATCGACTGTCTGCACTGCCAGCATTCACACCGCATTTTTTTCACATCTTCTTCCGGTGGATGATTTTCTTCACCAGCGCCGACCAAAACTCTTTTCAACCCCGACCCATGCTTCACGTAGCATTGGCAACTGCAAGTGAACATTAACATGCCCCACCCCAACCCACCCCATCCCACACAGGCAAAGTGAAAAAGACTAAAAATGAGCTCCCATACACAGGCCGCAGAGCACGGCGCCAGCAACAATCATAGCCTCGATGTATCAAGGCCGAGTCATAAAGCAATAATCCGTAAGGAGTCCGTAAGCTGACCGGCAGAAATCCGTATAAAATCCGTCAGCCAGAAAGCAAAAATCCGTAAGGAATCCGTAAGCAGCTCTGGGTAGAAACCGTAAGAAATCTGTAGGCCAATGATCGTAGACCATTTGTAATTAACACAATATTTTTTCAGGGTAACTATCCAAGCCAGGATGTATCAAGGCAGAGCCATAAAGCAATAATCCGTAAGGAGTCCGCAAGCTGACCGGCAGAAATCCGTACAAAATCCGTCAGCCACAAAGCAAAAATCCCCTTGGAAATCCGTAAGCTGCTCTGGCAAGAATCCGTAAGAAATCCGTAGGCCAATGATCCAGAATCTTTACTAATCTGTAGCAATTGCCTAAACGTTCTGACAAGTGCACGGAAACGATGATCCCGCAAGGAAAGGGCTCAAACGTTAGCTACAAAAAAAAATGTATGCAATCAGAAACTGCATGGGGTCAGCCAGCCGGGCAACGCCTACCCCATCTCTGTTGCCACATGAAGCTGACCTGGCGCAACCAAGAAAAGGCAGCGTGAGGCAATCTGAAGTGAGAAGTTATTCCTGAAGTTATTCTTGATCTATCGCACTCTGCTTGGCTGGGGCCTGTATGTCCGAGCTGTATGTATGCCAATGGGCTTGAGCACAAGCTGAAGCTGCGAAAACATTGGCGGGCTGTTGCTTCAAGGTTCCAGCACCCAGACTCCCCGGCTGGATCATGTGCCTCATCGCAAGGACTTAGTGACCCACAAAGTTTTATTAGTGTCATGTTTCGATATATTTCGTATCATCTTTCGTCCCCCAAATCCGGAAACCCCCAAATCCGGTACAAATCCGAAAACAATCCGTAAGCCTCGTCCTCCACATCCGGAAAAAATCCGTAAACAATCCGTAAGCCTTCTCCCCCAAATCCGGTAAAAATCCGTAAGCAATCCGTAAGCCTCGTCCTCCACATCCGGAAAAAATCCGTAAATAATCCGTAAGCCTTCTCCCCCAAATCCGGTCCAAATCCATAAACAATCCGCAAGCCTCCTCCCCCAAATCCGGTACAAATCCGGAAACAATCCGTGAGCCTCGTCCCCCACATCCGGTGAAAATCCGTAAGCAATCCGTAAGCCTCGTCCTCCACATGCGGTAAAAATCCGTAAGCCTCCTCCCCCAAATCCGGTCCAAATGATGGGGCCTTTCTTCCCACCGACATATGTTTTATGTTTTATCATCTCTCTGAGCTCATAGAGGTACTATGAGATACTACAAGTATCTTACAGTGTTGACTGTTCAGTCTTGAACAAATGGGCCTAACGGCAATGGCAAATAGCATTCGACTGCACTCGACGTGACGGATTTCAGAAGTGTTCGGTGGAGACACTGGAGACAGTAGAAGCAGCATGAAGCAGCACAATGCTCAGCGTTCTGACGCCTTGAGGCTCCGTACATTTGAACTCGGTCTCATCCAGGAAACCTGGAAAGGACGCTCTATCCACATATGCCTCAGCTCGTCCGAACCCGTCAAACATTTTCTTAGTATGGCTTGTTCCATGCGCAGAAGTGACCGAATATTGTGCCTATGGGACATGCTTTTATCTGATCAAAACGGGCTAGATGAGCAAAATAAAACTTCAGCGGCCTTCAGTAGCTGCATTTTGGCTCCGAAAATTTGAGCTCGTGACCATTAAGGGCGTTTCAGGCCGAGCAATTCCTAGAGCCAGACAGGATGGCAAAGAAGGCAAGAAAGTGCAAGCTGAGCCATTTGGATCTGGGTCATTCACTGGTCCGTGTCTTGCAAAGCTTCTGTGGCTTAGACTCCGAATCCATCCAAATTTGATGCAACTGGAGCCAAGCCTCCAAATCTGAGTTGCAAACCTGTTGGCACGAGGGCATTGCCATCTTGGAGGTCTGGCCTTGATGCCCGAGCAGAAATGGATGAACGTAAAGCTCCAAACACATCCAAGTTGTGACAAAAACACAGAAATGATTGCCACAAGAAGTCATTTCCTAGGTCAACGCTGTGGTCTCTTGGAGTTCAAGAACAATGTACAATTCCCGCATCTGGTGACAAGGACAGGACCCAGCTTGTTGGGCAATCAGCTGAACGGAGTTTGAAAGACGTTGGGAACATCTTGACCTCAAAAGACCTCAATAGACCTCCATTGACCTCAAGGCATCTGGCAGCCAGCGCCTGTTCGGCCACTGCATTTCCTACGTCGAAAGCCAACCTGTCGATTGTCGATGAAGCTGTCAACTCCGCAGCTCAATCACCATCATTCATCAGGAGTCCAGATCATACGTTTTTTTGTTTGCTTATTGTTTTTCAATTGTGGTTGAACGGCTTTTAATTGTGGTTTAATGCTTTTCAGAAGCCTTGGGGGAGAGTTGGGATTTTCATTTACAATTGCGAAGTGGGCCCCCCTGAAAAAACATAGTAAACAAATTAGTGGGGGGGACCCTTCACTATTGTGAATGTAACATTAATTGGTTCGAACCGGACTTGTGATCCAACTGATGGGAGACAACGCACCTCTGGTCATCAAACAAACCGCCACGTTGGACCAAGTCTTCTGATCCCTTAGATTCTGCGATCTGCGCTGAAACAGCACTGTCTGTGCCACTGGTAAAATGAACCACAGCGGCACCAGCCACTTCTCTCAGGGTCAACAAAAACCTTGCAAACCTTGCAAGTGATGATAAATAATGTTATATTAGAGTTTCTGCTTTGTTTCAAGATGTTTCAAGTACGTTTATTTAATAGCGTCTGCAAGGTTACCGAACAGCTTGAAGGAAGCCAGGCCATCCGGGAGGTTGATGCTGCAACATCCGTCCAAATCCCACAAAGTTTTGGCACACTGGGCTGAGATGGCTACATTGATGATCAATGAAAGATCCATTTATTAATATGGATCTTCCAGTCCAACGGCTGAGATGGCTGCGAACCGGCATGATCTGACGCATGGTGTCTTTTGGCCAACTGCTTCTTCTCGTGTGTGAAGCCAGAATGGCCCTGGACTACAACCTTTCAGGCAGAGTTGATCTAATTGTGCAAGTTTTTTTTTCATATCTCATTGATTGTGCTTTGATCTGGATCTGCTCTCGACTGCGGTCTCAAATTGCTGCAGAATAGTGCTGAGACCAGAGAAGCCGATATGCTGATTGTCTGATGTCTTTGAATGAATGATCAACCGATGTTTGACCATCATTAGTGGCATTTTTGGTTTGAACAGGTCTTCAATTGAACAAGGTATTCGCTACTCGTGCTACTCTCTTGTCGTGGTTTTTAATATCTTGTCATGGTATAGATTCCACTGTCGTGGTAAGACCAAACATCTTGCTATTAAGAACGGTGTTTACCATCGAACTAAATGGACCATGGCTTCCATGACGAACTGGCAATGTCATAACCAGGCCGGGTAAATCAAATGATTACCCGGCCTGGTAAACAGACAAAAAACTATGGAACATCACCATTTTCAATGGGTAAATCCACGAACTAAATCACCATGTTCAATAGCTATGTTGAATTTCCAGAGGGTACCAATTTTTACTTGCCACCTTCTGGTTTTTCAACATTGTTTAACATAGCCATGGAAAATGGCCCGTGTATAGATGATAAAAATGATGACCTATAAAACATGTTGATTTTCCAGTTTTCTACGTTAAAGCCCTAAATCCCATCTTATGAAGGTTATTCCAATGTTTATACCCAAGCCTCCACTGCACCCCCAGGTAGGCTTACATTCCATTTAAATTCCCATGGTTAATATCATGGAATAAAATACTATATACGCATAGCCTACTCTGGGGTGCAGTTGAGGTTTTTAATGGAAATATACCCTCTATATCCCTCGGGGGTATATACCCACTATTAACAATTATTAATTAACCACTATTAACCATGATTAACCACTATTAACCATACTTTTCTTGGAAACATCCTCCCTGTCCTTTGAAAGGTCAGCCCAAAAGCCCTGAATCTTCGAGAGCTGCCCTTTGCGCAGCTGCAGTTTGTAGAAGGCCCTGATCTCGTTGGGCAAAGGCATGATTTAACCAACAAAAATGGTGATTTCTCCAGGAAAAAAGGCGATTTAATGGATTTGTTTAATGGGAATTTCAAGGGTTTCAAGGGGGATATGATGGGGATATAAATTGTCTTTAGAGTAGTGGGGGGGAACATAAGGATATTTTATGGTATACATACATATATATATATACACACCCCATATACATCCATATACACATACATATTTGGCTCTGAACATGTAGTATCCAGTGGAACCCTTCAAAGTGACAATTTTCCATGCGGGAAATGCTGATTCCCAGATGGATCACCAGGTCGGCAATGGGTTCTGTTGGAAATTCAACCAGCACACGGGGCTTCCCCAATGGGGGCCAGTTTTGGACCAGTTGGGAGGTGAGCCAACCGGAAAAATAAGTGGAATTCATGAAGAGACCAACCATGAAGGAACCAACAATGAAGGCTCGTTCATGCAGAAATTCCAAGAACTGGGAGATTCTATGGAACTTGAAAGAATCGAACTTGAAATCGGCCTGTGATTCACCAAAGATTCATCAGTGGATGGGTGACACTGGTGGAAGGTGAACAACACTTCAAGGAGACGAAGTCTTTGAGTGAAGCCATTGAAATTCCATTTTAATATTCCAATCCACGTTCCAGTGCTTGGTTCGTTCTGAACACTCCACCTCTGATGCTTCCAAAATGATGATGTTCATCCGCATTCTTGATGCTCAAATCTCCATGTTCGGTGGCCTGCCATCCATCTCCCCAAAGCGAAAAACCAAGGGGCGGGTTGTTGTCGCGCACAGGACTCACAGAGGCAAAGAGCCTTGGTGATACATCAAGGCCCTTGATACGACCTACTTGGAGGATCATCCCTTGCCGGATCGCCACTGGTTACCCGGCCTGGTAATTCAACATAGCTATTGAAAATGGCCATTTATAGTGGATTTACCGATTAAAAATGGTGATTTTCCATAGTTATGTTAGTTTACCAGAGGATAATACCCCGGGTTAACAAGTGCCGGATTCCCTAGATGTTCGATTTATGATGGGGCCAACTAACCCTACCAACTACCAAGTGGGGTAATCCTCTATCTCTGTTTTGTTTTTAAGGGAGCTTATTGGGAAGATTCCAAAGGGCCCAAAAATTGGGGACGACTATTTTTTGCTGTCTTGAACTCAACGGAACTTTCAAGTTGACAGGAATATATGGAGTATTAAATTCGGGCTGGATAAGGATGTCATAGGAATTTAATCAGGACTTAACTGGAATTTGAAAATGATTTGATCTGGGTCCATGTTCAATTTCAACCCATGAGGTCTGAAAAATTCTTAATTTGAACAAATTCCTCCATTAAGATGAACAAACTACGTTTTTTCCAAACATGGATATGTTTTGATGATCCATCCGAAATGTGGCAGTGATACGGCATATACCCGATATTGGGGCCTCATGAAAAGGGCCAGTACTTAACCAGGGGTTTCTGTGGACATTGTACCATCCCCTAATCCATGGCTATGTAATCCATTAGTAGCTACATAATCCAACTTGTGACGTCTTTTGACCATGGTGCATATTACAGTCGTGCTGCCCCTGGTGCCTGCGTCAGATTTCACATGCCTTTCTGCCACTCGGAGATCGACTTGTTTAGTTGGGTTTCACTTCAAATGGGATGCCAGAACAACCCCAAAATTTCATAGTTTACCATGGTTTAATTTCATAGTTTAAATGGGCCTACCCCAATATTTTCATAGTTTACAATGGGTTTACCAACTTCATGTTTAATTTCATGTAAGCCTTAAAATGAAGTTGGTTCCCCACCATTCCCACCATTCAATGGCCACCTTTTAATGGAGTGCATCGACCGTTCACAGCTCTGCAAAAGTGCAGCCAAAGAGCATCAGTGGCGGCGAGGAATCCTTCAAATCCTGGCTGTGACTGTAGCATTGGACCTCTGGATTTTCTTCACGGGTTCCCTCCATTCGAGAAAAACGTCCCCATAGATTCCAAATTTGTGGATATCTCGTGGCAAAAAACAAATCACTAACTCAGCAAAGCAAGGAAATAAAATGCGGGTCATCACACTTTGGCAAACAAATTTAAAGAAATCAGAGCGGCAAATCATCATTGGCCATATAAATATTTACTATTAAACATATGCATTCCTCTTGACTAGGGCCTGATACTCTCCTTTTAATCGATGGGATTCCATCCTCTTGCCGGAACCCAAAAGGCAACGAGCATATCCGAGGCAAGTCATGGCATGAAAAATCTCCGCTGTCGATGTGAAGTTGGCAAATCACCTATGTGGGTTTTGGGAACCATCATGATTAACGGAGGATGTTGCTCAGCATTTCAGTTGTATGACTCCAAAAAAACAAATAGGCCATTCTTGATCTACAAGTAAGTACCTCCCATACATGAGTGAACCTACTATGATATTACTATAGCCAACTTTACTCATCCCAAATGGTCATGTCGGGGTTTGTTCCCAGCCATCCCAGGACACCGCGAATGGTTCCAAGAGTCCACCACTCGGAATTCATCTCCTCAGGGTGCGCAGTTTGGGTTCTCGTAAATCAACTATATGTATTACGCACTCACAGTCAAATATTTTGAAGGCCAATCGCAAAATTTACATTGCAGCCTGCTAGCCACACCAGTTGCATTTTACTACATATGTCTTGACAGGCTGCAGCCGTTCCTTCCCTAACATGTTGGCTGCAAGGGAAAACTGCGCCAATTCAAGCCGTTCGTTTTTTTTCCCAAACTTTGTTCTCATTGCCGCGCCCAAGATTTCGGCCCGAGATCCGAGAAAACCTTGAGATGACCCAAACAATTGACACTTTGGCAATTTCATATCTGGTTCGTGGTTGATCCTACCCCGAAAAATATGAGTTCGTCAGTTGGGATGATGACATTCCCAATATGATGGGAAAAATAATCCAAATGTTCCAAACCACCAACCAGCATATCTTTTCATGTCGCCTTGCCACTCACCTACATGGCTGTGAGTCAAAATTGTGCATGGAACGTTCCGCGGTGTTCCGCACGTATGGAACGAAGGGGCTTCGCAACTGGTCTTGTTCCGGACCTTGATGTGCATGTTGAAGCTGCTCACGCTTGCTGCCGCTCATTTTCACTTCTCAACTGCACGACATCCTTGTTGTACACCTGTTCAACACAGGTTTGCCTTGCATGGCTAGTGCGTGCACTAGCTAGGACACGGCCGGTAGCCAGCGTCACCCACCGGCTACCATGTGAAGCTGTCCACTCAGCTTCAGACCTGTCACGCACGTCCCACCTCCTACTCTGGGGTAGATTGTGTCCCCGCGTAGCAAGATTCTTCGACTGCCAGCTGGCAGCAGCCAAGCACATCCCTACCATCACACAACAAAGTAGGTAGCAGCTGTAAGTGCTGCTATGTGCGCTCATGTATGTGCATACAAATGTAAAATCAGATTGCACATGTTCAAATATATATATCTATATATATTTATATATAGTTCAACAAATAAATAGTTATATATATATATATAATTGTATGTATAATAACGTATGGATCAGAGGTGTGGAACAGAGGTATGGAACGGATCCCTCAAACAGGTATGGGAAAGGGGGTATGGAACGGGGGTATGGAACGGGTGTGGTCCCGGACCTTGTTCCGGACCTTATAATTTGACTTTCACCCATATGGCTTGAAGCGCTGCAGGTGTTGAACACCTCTGCGTAGACCTCCGTCCTCTCTATATTTTTGTCTGGGCGGTACAACCTCTTCCAAGCCAATTCTGCTGGCCAGCAGGGAGGGCCTGTAGTTCCATGGCCTCTGCAATTGCCTCGTTGAAGGACGAGCACTGCCTCATGGTGGAGCACTCTTTCTGGAACCTTATGGGATACAGTTGAACTGCCACCTCTGCAATCTGATCCTTGGGAGAAGCCCTGTCTGTGTTTGGCCGCTACATTCTTGGCCTCACTGTGATCCTCCTTTTGGAACTGCTTCTCTTTTGGGTAAGATGGACATTTCCGTGGTGGAGCTGGTGACTTGTCCCGTGACAGGCAGCACTCGCACTCCAAGAGATTCCCCATGGCTCGGGTTCGAAGGATGAGTGCAACAGCTCAAGTCGAAAATGAAGCGTGCTTTTCAGGAACGAAACTTTAAGACTATGGACAGCCTTATGGTTCAACTGTACCAAATGATTTGCCAGGAGCAGACCTGAAACCGTAAGCGGTATCAAGCAACTAACTCTGGTTTCTATCCTTCATGGTTCACAATTCTTTGGCTGTGATGCAATAATGCTGCTTCGAGACCTGTTTCCTGACAGTCATGGCATGCAAAAATCGACCCAGTTCATGGCAGCTGATCCGAGGATGCAAAACCCTAGATCTAACAACAGATTCCACTACAGCAACCCCCGAAACCAAGAGATTTTACATGATTTTCCTACGCAAAATTGCACGTTTTCTGCATCTTTTTGGGTGTTACTATCGCATTCTCGAAGATCACCTGCTTTTGTTGCCAAGGATCGGTGGATGTGTGAAAAGAACTGTCCAGCAATGACCTCTCGGTACCTGGTTCTTCAATGGGTGGGTCGAAAGCTGAAAAACCACATCTGGATACATCTGGGATATAGTGGAATTTATAGTGGCATTTATTCTGGAATATGGATGACTACAGATTTAGGGACTAGAAATGGGATCTACCCCGATTAATGGGGTATAAATGAACCTTTGAACGAGGATATAATGGCGATATAATGGGACTATCATCAACATGTGTCTGAAATTGGCAGGTGTAAACCCATTTTATAGCCATGAAATGCAGACAATGATGATCTAAGCGATAAAACTTTTGTTTTTTCCCATTCTTTAGACAAACCCAAAGTCATGCTATGATGCGATATATATATATATATGTGCGCTCTTTTTAGACATCATATATGGGCATGTCTGAAAATGCTGCAGTATACAGTATACCTCAACATATGGCCATACATATTCATGGGGAAGATCATTATTCACCATGAATTCAACAGAGAATTTCGCAACATGTTCACACAACAATGACATATCACCATACGACACCCGTATGGAAAACCCCACATGACATTCGATCGTCACATTCGATGATCCGATCAACAGCCAACTTTTTCTGGTGAGTCTGCCCCCGGCGATGAACGGATTAAAGTATAGTTTTTGCCAGTTGGTTACCCACCATGTTTCATCACCAAGTCCCAATCTTCAGTTCTTAAATCGCTGTTAAATCACCGTTTCTTGGTCAAACCACATCACTTTGATGGCCGTGTTCTGCCATATTTTGCTATGGCCTTTGTGCAGTCCCAAGGTGCGTAGACATCAGGTGCCAGTACATCACCACGAACTTCTTTTGCCACCTTGGACGGCCCGAGTCGTTGCGGAAGCACCGAAAATTCAGATTGATTTCAGGTGGAACGATTCGTAATTCTGGGATACTCATGGGATCATGATTTCGGATAATGGCGGAGAATGGTTGATACTGGTGGAACATATGGTATAAACATAATTCAACAATCAAGTTGTACCGAACTATCAATTCACTCAGTTCACCCGGTTAAAGTGAAAGGATCACCCAGGGACACTTGGCGGACAGTTGGGCTGCATGAAAACAGCGATTGGGAACTACCAAACGCAGGACCTTGGTTTTTGGTTGTTAGTTAATGTTAGTTATATCATTTATATCCAGCATCCCTGGTTTATTTATCTCTTTGCACACGATGCCAGATTGTGTTCCGATTCGACAGCCAACAAATGGCTTTGGTGCAGTCTTGATGGACAAAACCGGATGGTTACCACCAATGCACAGCCGTTTACTTGTCATTGCTAGCGCTTTTGATCTATCTGGCCCAAAGTGTGTTAATTCCCAAACTGGAAACCAACAATTTTCAGTATGATTCCCAAACGATAAAGCCCATGATGTGGGCGTTGTCATTCGAACAACATACCCTCGGGTAAACTAACAAAGACAAAAGGAAAATCCGTGGTTCCAGGAAAGTTCTGTATGAAGGTGGATCATATCTACTCTCTGGTAAATCAACACAGATATGGACATTCCACTAATTATTTGGAGATGATCCCATCTTTTCACCTAAAAAGTTGGGATATGGAACTGCCATGTTAAATTACCAGAGGGCAAACAATCACAGACATCCTGAAGTCAAGCCACAAATCCGTTGAGCTGTAGGATGACAATACTGGAGGGATGTGCCCCGCAATGTAAACCTGGAAAGAATCAGAACAAGGGGATCTACGCCTTGATTTACCCTCTGGTAAACTAAAATAACCATGGAACATCACTATTTTCAATGGGTAAGTCAACTATAAATGGCCATTTTCAATAGCTGTGTTAAATTACCAGAGGGTAGAATGAACAGTGTTCAAAGTCCACTTTTAAAATGGGGGAATAAATCAACTATTTCCGGACATATTCTGCGAATATCAGCAACACTATGGGGATATTGGTATCCAAATGGGTTTACCTGAAATGCAATCCCTTTAAAATGGCCTGTGAAAGTACATGATTTGTCGATCAAACACGCCGGTTTTCTATGGCAAACGGTTAGATTGTCAAATTGTACACCTCCTCAATCTTTGTATGGAACCCCAATTCGATGGTTGTGCAAACCCAGTTTTTTTGGGTGAGAATCCGTAAAATCTTTTTACCGTTATGTGATGTGGAACCACCAAACTTGGGGTCTAGAAGATGAGATTCCTTTTGGATCCGTGTAAAATCTAAGCGCATGCAGAAGTGCAGTTTTCAGGAACAATACCTGGGCATGAGCTATCAATGCTTGGAAATTACCTGGCTAAGACAGACCAGATAGTCATTCCTACCAGTGGTTCATGAGGCTTCCCACATAAAGTGAACCTAGAATCCCGGTGAATAGCGAGGTAGTGTGATCCTATAAGACAATCATTTCTGTTTCACATCCACAAACAATTGATGATATTGGCTGGATTTGGTTGGCAAATATCAAGATGTTTGGATATTTTTCATGGGCAAATTACTATTTCTGTATCTCGGTGGTCTGACCACACTACAATCTGGACTCTCCTGGAAAATTTCTGGTGGCATAAAGGGGATTGGTGGATCTTGTCCCTCTCTATCCTCTGCTAATCAAATTGGAAAACCACCTGTTTAGTTCGATGCTCCCAGTGCATTGCTCATTCAGGATTTACCAGCTAGCCCATGTTTGATTGCCAGGTAATTGTCTTGTGACATTTGCCATTTTTGCATTTTTTGGATGGTTCATCCGATTTATGGCTGTTTTGGGGAGTGTTTATTGGGGCCCATTTGTACAGAATTATTATTAATCCATGTAAATGAAGGTTTTTATTACCCATATTATTGGGTTTACTTGGTTTCTTATTAGATCTACCTACATCTAAAATTTGCAGGAAAACACCCATATTTCATAGGAAAAACCATGGTTTCCTGTAGATTTTCCTCCAATGACAATGTTTGACCCGCCCCCAAAAGGAGGACGCTCCAAGCACTCTCCGCACCTTGGTTTCTGCCTTGACAGCTCGTTTCAGCTGGTCTTCCTCGGAGCCCGTTTGGGGACGGTAAAGATACCATCTATGGCAATATTAAGGAAGGTTGATGGTTGAGGATTTACCAATGTTTGATGGCATCATGTGTCACAAGTAGTCTTCCAACCCCCATACTTCCCAGGGTCATCATGTTAGAGGGATGGTGTGCCACATTCATGGTAATATTACGCTAATATTACTGTACAGTGCCAAAAAGACATATGAAATCATACTACACAATTTTAGCCGTTATGATTAACATGGTTGTGGAACAAACGTGGCCAGGCATGAGAAACCTTGATCAACAAAAATCCGGCGGAGGTCTGGGGTATTGCACGGACTGAGTCCAGTTGCAAACAAGGTTATAACTTCCATAACCTATTATTCTGGGTAAATTATAACAATTCACGAACCTGAAATAAGACCATAGTGAGGTCGCAGAGAGGTCGTTATAATTTACCCAAATTAATCTATTACAAACAGGGTGAACCATCACGTACCCAAATTCGAGAAGTCATTTCATGACTAAAACCAGGGGCTCTTTTGATCTCCGGGGTATGCGGGAAGCCTCTAATTTTCTGACTCAGTGATCTTCCCATTTTTAAATGTCGATTGTAAACACACCCCGAGTTTAGAAATAGGGGAGATCCTATTTCAGCAGTGATCGAGCACGCTTTAAATTGGTATCCCTTTGTCAGCAAACCAGAGATATCTATGGATCAACATGGATAAAAAAACGTATTGTTGTGGTAATAATCCACCATAAACCAATAAATGATATCCTCAGTATTGTTGATTCAAGATCCATTTGAGTGTGAAATAAATATCTATCATTCCATGAAATACTGGTTGGTTTAGAACGGGATTCTCCGTTCTTGGATTACTAAAATTCCCAATATATATATAATATATCTTATATTATATATTATAATATATATAATAATAATGTATTATATAATATATAATATATATTATATATATATATATATAATATATAATAATAATATATTATATAATATATAATATATATAATATATATAATATATATAATATATATAATATATAATATATATATAATGTATATATATATATAATATATATATGTCAATTTGTTGGGTAGTATAACCAACTAATCATCAACCAACAGGGGGTTAGCAGCCACTGCTCATTTGGGAGAAAAAACTGCCCATTTCGCCAGAGTTTTTCCATGGCCAGGTCACTAGCCACCCGAATTGCCCGAAGGGGTCGCTCGCCTGGCGGGTAGAGCTGGAACTACGAAGTTGGAGAGTCAGATATTGATGGGGACAACAACAATGTCATGTTTACCATCCCCCAGTCATCACCATTTTTATGGGTGGTATGGTTACCATTCCCAGTCACGGATGGTTTATGGCATTGTTTTAACAAGATTAGTTCAAATTATCATGTGTTTTTTCTCTGCTTAAACAAAAGATTCTTCGCACCGAGCATCTTTGAATCCAGCTAGTTTTGAGCCACAAAGGGAAAAACCAACCTAAAAATCCAGATGAACCAATTCCCAACTCAGATAATCCCATCGACCATTGAGTCATAGCCAGGGATCTTAATCCATCACCATCCAAGTCCGAGTCATAAAGGGGCCGCACAACTGACATCATTTGTTTCCACGGGTTTCAGACTATGACCGAGACCCTTCCCGGAGAACCCCGCCAAGAGGTTGATGCAGGTGCACCTTTTCACTCCAGATTGGGCTCGGTGCTTGAGCCAGTCAGTTGATTGGCCCTTGAGCCATGTTGCAACAGTCGGAGGACGTCTCAACGACTGTGAAAACTTTAAAAAGACCTTAGTGGGGGTGCAGTGGTACTCTGTGCATGTTTCCCAAACCGCACTCCCCCTTCCTGCTTGCAGGAATCCAAGTTCCCCAAGACCAAAAACAAAAGCTTCAGGGGTGGCCACGTTTCCTCTGGGAACTCGCCCTTCCCCCAGCCAGAAGGGCGAAGACCCTCGTGTGCCATAGTCCCAGGCTGGTGTTGGTTCCCCCTTCATCCAAGGGTCGCGTGGAGTTCCACTTCGGGTTGACTCCAAAAATTGAAAAACTACAGCCCTAACTTCGTAGGTTTTGAATTCCCTCTCTCACCAGCGCTGTCCTCGAAGAGCGCCCAACGGTGTTCTTTGGGTCCAGCAGCTGATGAGCTTTTCCCTGTATTGGTCTTTTCCACCGGCAGCTAATGATCTTTTCCTTGGGTCTTGTTGATCCTTTTCTCCAGCCACCGATGTACTTTTCCGTGTGACCTATTTCCTTTTGGGTGAGCTTTTCGCCACATCTCTTGGGTCTTGTTTGACAAGGAAATCGGTGTATCCCACCCACTTGTCTTCGACCCACTTGGTCTCCCAGTCAAAATCCAAGATTATTTTTCGCTCGTTGCTGTCCAGGGTATTCCACAAAAATGTGACCCGGTAAGGATCCAACTGGTCGACCTTTTTCGGTAAAGTGGGGTGATCTGGATGAAATGAATTCTGTCTCCATTTGTAATGGATTATTGTGATGATTCGTCCATAGTCCCCAGGGGCTGGAACATGCCACATGTCAATGGCCTGACCCTGTTCTTCAAAGCCTGTTACGGCCGGCGGCTTTGTCATCCATGCTGTGCCCTCTCCAGAGATGATATATTCCACCTCACGCATGACCACCTCAGGCATGTAGACTGTCCAGCTGGCTGGGTCTTCAGGACGTCGAATTAAATCTTGTCCCGGACGAATCTTTGGTCTTTGGGCCGGTGGCGGAGTCTCCGGTTCTGCTGGCCTTCTTGGTGTCTGGGAAGACTCAGTGTCCTCCTCCGGATGCTCCTTGTACCACTGTTCCCATTCAGCCTCGGTGTATTTGTTCTTCTTCTTCTTTTTCTTTTTCGGTTCCCATTTGTCACCCCATGCACCATCCCACCAATACCATTCTCCTCCATCCACTTCATAGTAAGCCGCTGCCTTAGGAGCTGCCTTAGAGGAGGAGGCTCGGGTCGTTTCTGCAGGTTTTTCCTTTGGCTCTGCAGGTATTGCCTTTCCATAGACTGATCTCATCCTTGCAAGGTAATCAGCCATTTTTTCTCCTTCTCTCTGTTCCTTCCATTTTCCCCACTCTTCATCATCGGTGGGTACTTTTTCCTCTTCCTTGGGAGTTGGCATCGACGGTTTTTTCGGTGGCGGTCTCCCAGGGGCTTTCATACCCTCTGGCAGCGGAGCTATCGGTCCCCTTGGGACCCTTTCCGAACCTCGCGATTCGGCTGTAGAAGGGCCAGGGCTTTTTTCACTCTCCGATCGCCTTGTTGTCGATTCCTTTTCCCTGTGTGGCGACCTAGATCGCCCTGTTTCACCCCGTCTCCGACGGTCTCTTCCTCTTTCCCTTTTGTCATGGGCGCGATCAGCATCCCTCTCTTCGGTTTTTCTTCTTTTTTCCTTTCGATGATCTTCTCCCGGACGTGGTTCTTCTTCCTGATGTTCATCTTTTTCTACAGTTGGCGCCGCCATGGAATGACCTTCTCCCCCACGTACATCTTTTTCTCGATCTTTCAGGGCCAACTTCACCATCAGTTCAGCTTGTTCCACCATTTGTCGATTGAACTGAGGAACCACCAGGAGTGTCAAATGGCCCATAAGCCATCGGAAGACTTCCCACACCAGGATGACCATCATGGCATAAAGTATGCCGAAAAACTGACCGAAGACGCCTTGCGAAACATCTTCACCGTCCATAGCTGTCACTGGTGCAGCAAGGCAGACGAGGACGCTTTTGAGCCCAAAACTTTTGGAAAAATAAATTGCTGCGGACAACCCCAATTCCCTAACGGAAAAACACTTAAATCCCGTTGGTTGCGGAGCTATCCCCTTTGAGGGTTCAGGATGGTTTTTCCCCTTACCTACCACATTAGAATTCCCCAAAAACCCAATTCCCCAAGTTGCAACCAGATCCCACGGTTCTGTGGAACCCGACCTTGGTACCACTTCGGCAGCTCGATGTTCTTTTCGATCGGACCTGGCACAATCCAAGTCCCAATGTCTCTCTTGTCCATCACCCAGGATGGTCTTAGGGATGGGTTCTTCTTTTTCATAACTGTGCAATTGGGCAACATGACCGTGGTGATCTTGTACCCGCAAAACTTTCAAAACTGGTGGATTTTCATCCCAAAAATAAACCCGTTTAGGTTTTGGGTTACCCCTTTTGGACCTATTACCCCGTTTTAGAATACCCCTAGGTTCTTCTTCTACATGGTGTTCAACTTGTCCAGGAATGTTCTTCTTCTCCAAAAACGGTAAGACCGACTCCAACTGGAACCGATCCTTGACCACTGATTCAGTGACGCGATACGCATCAGCCAGTACTTGCACCAGCCTTCCAATGGCAGTGCTCAGGGCTTCATGCCGGAATTCGGCTAGTTCTGGATATTCCTCGGCCAGACCAACCACCTTTTTCACCACTGACACGCACCGACCAGCGATGTCTCGGTAGTTGTCCCAAGAGGAAGTCTCCTGGTCTGGTTCTTCTGGACGTTGTTCTTCTCCCAGAGGTTGTTCTTCACGATGGTTGGACCCCATTGATGGTTCCTCATTTGGAACCCCGGAACCTTGGTGATTGACGAACCTCCAGAACCTTTCCCAACTGGGCTTCACAGCGATGATCTTCGTCAGGAAATCGGCCACAAGTTTTACCCCTGGAAGGTGACGGATGATCCAACTACCATCCTTTAACCTTTCCCTTAGGGCTGTTGCTCGCAACCGCAAGTGCCGAGTCCTCCACGGACCGTCAGGATTTTCCAAGATGGCTATTGCAGCCGTGTTGTCTCCGTAGATGATCTTCTGCCCGATTTTCCGTCCTTCCACGACCTCTATGAGAGACGCCAGAGAGTCTCCCATGACCATGGATTCCAAGTAGGACATCAGTTCCCCTTCGGCGGTGCTCAACACCACAAAAGCTTGACGGCTGGCTTCCCATTGAACCAACCCTCCACCATAAAAACCTAGGATACCCTGCAGTGATCTTTCGCCCGCAGGGGCAAATGAAATGTCCGAGAACATTTCGACTTGCTGCATCTCCCGGTGAAATGGCAGATCATCTTCGGGACCACGATCATCACTTGTGCAAACCCCATAGCTGAGATGTTGAGTTTTGGTTCCCTTCAGGTAACCAAACACCTGCTGTGCGGTTTTCACCACCCATTTGGGCCGTTTGTTCACCTGCCTTCCCAATTGGCTGACGGCGAAACTGATATCCGGCCTTGTCCTTATGGACAACCACAACAACTCGCCCACCACCGTTTGAGCTTGTCGGATGTTTTCAAGTGCTGGTTGTTCTTCTTCCGGAAGTTCGGCATCCGCTTTCGTCATCGGAACCGGTCTTGGGTGTTCTACTTTATGTCGATTCAACAGATCCCGAGTGTAGGACTGCTGTCCCACCTTCAACTTCTTGTGATCCCCTTGACCGCTCCATTGGAGCTCGAACCCACAAAATCGAACCCAGCTTTTGTGATCAACTTCTTCAGGAGTGGAGCAAGTCCATTCTTCCTTCAGCCTCTTCAAGAAGATGTGTTTGGCGTGAGGTTCCGCAAGAACCATAAGATCGTCCACATAGACGACCACCAAACCCACTTGCCGATATCCATCAGGACGTACTTCTTCTCCCGGAGCGTCACCACCTTTCCACAGGATTCTCCACAAATTTCCTTCCGGCGTTTGTTCCAGCTTGTACTCCTTCTGCATCTCCCCCGGGCTTGCATCTCCCTGCCATGTGAACCGCCGCATTGTTTGGTCGCGGTACACTGCCCAATGGGCAGGACTGGATTGAAACCCATACAGGGCCTTGTCGACAAGCCAGACCTCATCCGGTTGGGTAATCCCAAAATCAGTCATGATCCTGGGCGGAACCACCGCCACGGTTTTGGCACCTTGTTCCACCGGTCGAGGAGCCAGTAGAAAAGCGGTCTTGATGTCCGTCGTGGCTACATCCCATTGGTGATGAGCTGCCTTTCGCAATGCACACCTTATCAGAACCCCGTCCGCTCCACTGGCATACAGCAGAGAGGAAGGCATGGGATCCGCTTCCGGTGATGCCAAGTTGCCGCAGATCACAGCACGACATTTGTATCTTCCTCCAGCCTTGATCACACAGACCAATTTCCCCGGCACCAATTCGGCTTCAGGGTCAATCTCGGACCTTTTGACTGGTCGGATAGCTTTTGTTTCTGCAGTCAAGGATTTGTACTCGGCGAGCATCGAGTCGTACCAT